TTTGTGTTTCCATGGTAACAACCACTCGTGGTTACCTTAGGTACTACACATTCCCATAGCGACGCGGGATTTCTCTTCCTTGTATCCGTCCATCATGCAAGCTCATAATCTGTGCTATACCACACTTCTGATCAAGTCCACAGATAGAGAAAGGTATGACATCATTACTCCCATTGACTTTGTATGGAGAGAATTAGGGATTACGTCGTCATCGTTTCAGGTTAACCCGGACCAGTACATTAGGACACCGTCGGGTAATCATTTCGTGAAGAGATCAGTGAGAAAAGGGTTATTGCCGGAATTCTGAAGATCGTTGAGTGCAAGAAAAAAGTGAGAACTGTGTTGCATATATATGTACAGTCGCAAAATGTAGTTTGTGATTTTAGATTTTCCACGGGGAAATTTGTTGCAAAAATCAGCAAATTGGGAAAAATATGTGCGCCATACATACATACATACATACATACATACATACACAATAAGTATGAAGTAAAGTGTGAGCTGTTGTTACATACGTAGATAGTGTGGTTAACAAATTAATTTATTATTGTGTTTTTGCGAGAATTAGAGAAAATATCTGAACGTGTCGCCTACAGAGCGAAGGCTGAGTTGAAAGAAGAGAAGGATTCATTTCGTCGTAAGGTGCTGGACGGACGGCAGCTGGCTTTAAAGCTCAGCGCCAACTCCGTATATGGATTCACTGGTGCTAACGTCGGGAAGCTCCCCTGCATTGAAATATCACAGGTGTGTTGGGTTTTTTGGCGAATTTTACGATATTCTACAATTTCGCCCTTTTAGAGCGTGACGTCATTTGGAAGACAGATGATTGATCAGTCCAAAAACCTCGTTGAACGGAAGTACTGCGTCGCCAACGGTTACCCCTTTGATGCCAAGGTACATACAATCAACATGTGTATAGCGGAACCTCTCTCTATTCTGTTTCACTAAGAACAGTTCTTGCATGCAAATTACCCCCTGAGGTTTTGTGCATAGGCAGAGTAGTTCCACTGTGAATGTATGTTGTACATGTGCAACCTGATTCGTTGATTCCCAATTGGAGAGCACCTCCGATGATGTCATCACAGGTGATATACGGCGACACGGACTCGGTGATGGTGCGGTTTGGAGTCGGGACGGTGGCAGAGAGCATGGAACTGGGACGAGAGGCTGCAGAGATGATATCTGCCACATTTCCTCATCCAATCAAATTGGAGTTTGAAAAGGTCTGTCTCACAACCACACCCCTTTTCTTTTCTGTGGAATGTTCACTTAACCCTTCTCTCCCTTCCACAGGTGTACTTTCCATACCTCCTTATCAACAAGAAAAGGTTTGATACTCCCATACTCCCATACTTCTAATCTTTCACTGTTTATTGTCTCAATCTCCTATACCTTCATTCTCCCAAACTCTCATACCTCCATTCTTCCAAACTCTCATACCTCCATTCTCCCAAACTCTCATACCTCCATTCTTCCAAACTCTCATACCTTCATTCTTCCAAACTCTCATACCTTCATTCTCCCAAACTCTCATACCTCCATTCTCCCAAACTCTCATACCTCCATTCTTCCAAACTCTCATACCTTCATTCTCCCAACCTCTCATACCTTCATTCTCCCAAACTCTCATACCTTCATTCTTCCAAACTCTCATACCTTCATTCTTCCAAACTCTCATTCTCCCATTCCCCCACTCCAGGTATGCGGGGCTCTTCTTCACGAGACCGGAGACCCACGACAAGATGGACTGTAAGGGGATCGAGACTGTTCGTAGAGACAACTGCCGTCTGGTGGCCAGACTCATCGACACCTGTCTCCACAAACTACTCCTGGACAGGTACCGTCCCATTCCCACTTTCTCATTCTCCCACTCTGATATCTCATACTTTAGATGTATACTCCAATTTTGATGCTCATTATTACTTCCGTACTTCAAATTTTGATGCCCCATACTTACATACTTGCAAACTTTGATACTTCGATTTCACATGCTGTGAGTTAAACTGCCACACCCCAAAAACGCAAATCCTCATACTTCCATGCCTCTATACTCATGAACCTATACTTTAATACTTCCATGTCTCTATAATTACATGCCTTCGTACTTCAAATATTTAGTATTTCAATCTTCATACTTCCATGTCTCCATGTCTCCATGTCTCCATACGCCCATTCCAGGAACCCAGACGACGCACTGTCGTATGCCAAACAGACGATATCCGACCTCCTCTGCAACCGAGTGGACATTTCTCAACTGGTCATCAGTAAAGAGCTCACTAGGACAAGTGCCAGCAAGGAATATGCCACTGGACCTAAACTGGCTCATGTTGAACTAGCTGAACGGTAAGAAAGAGTCTTTTATTGAAAAAAAACAGTTTTCCAACAAGAAATGATGGTAATTTTATAGCCTAAACTGTAGTTAAAATTTCGTAGAGTGCGAAAATTTCCAGTAAATCATAAAGGCTGGAAGGGAGGGAGAAAGGAAGTATGTCAACCAGCTTTGGCAATAAAGGCTTTGCTTTACTTGACTCTGACTGTATTCATACAAATTATAGATTACGTAATGAGTAATGATAATTTTATAGATTACGTAATGGGTAATGTGAATTATAGATTACGTAATGGATAATGTGAATTATAGATTACGTAATGAGTAGTGAGATTACGTAATGAGTAGTCATCAGCTGGACTACTATTCTCCCAGGATGAGGAAGAGGGACCCTGGGATCTAGCCCCAAACCTGGCGATCGAGTACTTACGTCATCATTGCCGCCAAGAAAGGCACACCGGCTTACATGAAGTCTGAGGTAATGTTTTGATGAAGGAGAAAAAAACGAGATATTTTGCTGCTTTGTAGGTGTGGTTTCTTGTGCAATAACCCCCTCCGTCCCTCCTCTCTCACCCAGGACCCGCTGCATGTCCTAGACAACGGAGTACCGATTGATACGTCCTACTATCTCGAAAACCAACTGCTCAAACCTCTTCTCAGGATATTTGAACCCATCCTCGGAGAAAGGGCCAAGAACGAACTCCTGCGTAAGTAGGGTTGAGCCCATTATGCTAACTTTTTTACCCATTATTCTATTCCGCAATTCTCGTAAATCTTTCCTATTATTCCTCCTCGCTGCCCCTATTATGCCCTTCGAGCTGGCATCCGACTAAACCCTGCGTAAAAAAGTGCGGGCGGCGTTTTAGTAGAACGAGGAAAATGCTGAGTCGGACACTTTGTTCGCGCGGTTTTGCTGTCTCTAGCCTTCCCGTGGAGTGATGCGCTTCATTTTCGCTCTTTTTGCAGTGAAGATATCCAGGGTAAGTTCTCCATCTTTACGCAAAACCGCGGAAGGGCAGAAGCTCCGGCAGAAGATCGCGCAAACGTCTAATTCCGACCTATTATTCCCAGAATTATGCTTTTTCTGGGAAGCCCCTATTATTCCAAAAATTATGCCAGCATATTGGGCGCCAGCCTATGCGTAAGTCTTGATGATAATTATCGATACTCAACTTGCAAAACTGATGGTTTTTTGGTTACATCGTGTTTCCATTAGAGCAGAGCAGTAGGAAATGCAACAAGTGACTGCGCAAATATTCATACCAAATACAAAGACAAAATAATTTCCAAAGAAAATATTTGAGCAAAGCTTATGTAAACTGCGCGTTTTTTTGCTAACTTGACAAATCATCTAATCTGTTAATGGTATATAAAAGGCTGCTAAGACATGTCAAAAAACCAGAAAAACTGTACTTTTCCTGTCCATTTTTCCTGTCTTCCATATACATGAAATCTGTAAAATGGTAAAAAAAACCTTGCACAGCATCTAAGAAAACATTTTCTCTCTCCCCTGTCCTCCTCAAAGACGGCCAGCACACCATGAGTAAGTCTGTGGTCCCGTCTTCCGGAGGCAGTGGAATGCTGTTTAAATTCACAAAGAAGAAATACAAGTGCATCGGTTGTCGTGCCGTCATTGACAGAGACGGTATGTGTTAATTACCGACTTAAGGCTTCTTTTGTTGTTAATAGATCAACAGAGGACCGAGTTAAGGTATAGGAATCAGGTGTTTCTAAATCTTTTGAATGCCAGTGAACTAACTTGGTGTCTATAGGCTCTCTGATCTATTTGATGCATACATACAGTGAGATAATGGAGCATTGATGTGTGAGGTAAAGGTGTTGTGCAACTTCAATGGTTCATGCAGTAGACCATTGGTGTCTCAACAATTCTCTACAGTGTATACTTAGTGCCACCTTTACTGTCTGTTTATTCTGTCCCATGCCCTCAATCACGAAAGGACCCAGCACTCAGTCATGCCGCAACTAATCTCTCCGCCCGCTCTCCCTCTCTTCCCTCCCTCTCCTCCCTCTCCTCCCTCCCTCTCCTCCCTCTCCTCCCTCCCTCCCTCTCTTTCCCAAGATCAAGCTGTGTGTGCCCACTGCTCTAAGGACGAATCGTCCATCTACCAGAGAGAAATGACTCACCTCGCTGATCTAGAAAGAAAGTTCAGTCGTCTCTGGACCGAGTGTCAGCGGTGTCAGGGGAGTCTACATGAAGACGTCATCTGTACCAAGTATATATATACAGTGGAACCTCTGAATAAGGGACACATTGAAGGTGTCCTTTATAGAGAGGTGTCCTTTATAGAGAGGTGTCCTTTATAGAGAGGTGTCACTAATGTATCAGTATGGGGCAGAACCAAGTGTCCTTTATAGAGAGGTGTCCTTTATTCAGAGGTGTCACTAATGTATTAGTATGGGGCAGAACCTAGTGTCCTTTATAGAGAGGTGTCCTTTATTCAGAGGTGTCACCAATGTATTAGTATGGGGCAGAACCAAGTGTCCTTTATTCAGAGGTGTCCTTTATAGAGAGGTGTCCTTTATTCAGAGGTGTCACTAATGTATTAGTATGGGGCAGAACCTAGTGTCCTTTATAGAGAGGTGTCCTTTATTCAGAGGTGTCACTAATGTATTAGTATGGGGCAGAACCAAGTGTCCTTTATAGAGAGGTGTCCTTTATTCAGAGGTGTCACTAATGTATTAGTATGGGGCAGAACCAAGTGTCCTTTATAGAGAGGTGTCCTTTATTCAGAGGTGTCACTAATGTATTAGTATGGGGCAGAACCAAGTGTCCTTTATAGAGAGGTGTCCTTTATTCAGAGGTGTCACCAATGTATTAGTATGGGGCAGAACCTAGTGTCCTTTATAGAGAGGTGTCCTTTATAGAGAGGTGTCCTTTGTTCAGAGGTTCCACTGTAATAACCAGCTTTTATATGTAAAATATGCCCATGAAAATCATGAATTTTTTTTCTCCATACCTATATACAAAAAGAATAATGTTTACTCTCCTTTTTCTGCTCCCTACATAGTCAAGATTGCCCGATATTCTACATGAGGAAGAAGACTCAGAAAGATCTAAATGAACAAGACAAAACCATCAGACGTTTCACGACATCGACTTATGATGGGGACTGGTAAATAATGCGTTCTCCATTATTATTATAATGCTACTAATATTGAATGATGACTGCAGCAATCTCAAACTCAATTGGTTTTTCATTGTAATAATTATTATCTGCATAATAAAATTGCTTAACTTTATCAAATAAAACCATCAAACGCTTTAAAACATCAGCTTATAATAATATGGGGGACTGGTTAGCTATAATTATAGCTTTATAATGTTCTTGATTATGCTACGGCTGAAATGCTTTTACATGAGTGACACTGTCTATAACTAATATGACCAGTCATTTTCATTGTAGCTACCTACGTTGCTCAAGTTCAGCTGTACTTTTGAAGGTCCGGATCCTTTATTTGACGTAAAGCTGGATTTGTTCGACCGCGATTTGTTCCATGGCCGCCAGATTGGTAAAACAAAAGCGAATATCGATCGGATCGGAGAGGCTTTCTCCGAGGTGCTTGACGAAGTACGGATGGTTCTCGCGCCTGCAGCATGTGCTGGTCGTCCCCGCGCAGCCAAGTCCGTCCCACAGCACGTGTCGGTGAACGGCACGCCGTGAAGTCACTATCTCGGCCGCAGCCAAATCACCGTTGCTGACGATTCACAGAAGTAATCCTCTCCGACGAACGCCGGGGGTGAGGGGCGCGCCGCTTCGCGAACGGGCAGCGCCAGCTGGCGTCAGCGTTTGGGACGGTACCTTTCGTCAGCCCGAGGACGAAGGACCAGATGTGCGTCGCCAGGTCCATAGTCGTATCGTCTAGCATGCCGCACGAGGTGAGGCTTATTCCGCTCAAGTTCTTGGGGAAAAAAAGTGTCCCTTATTAGAGAGGTGCCTCATTTCAGGGGTGTCCTTAAAAGGTTCCCACTTACAGTCATTTGGCAGTACCAGAAGAAGTACTGCCAAATGAAACGCTCCGTCACGTAGCCGCGCGACTTCAGCGACTGCAACGCGTAAACTCCAATAATGCCCACTCGTTCTAAAACGATCATCAATTTACATGCATGCCTTAATGACTTGTAGGTTAGGGACCGTCTCGATCTCAGAGTGTTGGCGCGACGAAATAGTCCTTCTGGCCACGAGGACGCCCTCTTTGAAGAGTGTTCGTAAATGCCCTTCCGATCTTCTTGGTATCAGCATTTCTAGTCGGGAGAGCACGGGGAGATGAAAATTAGGCTTCTCGTGACGATTGAAACGGGGGTCGTTGCGACTAGCTACGGCTTAGCAGATCTCGAACTGGAGTGGATCTTTATTTACCTCTTCCCACTTCCACGTGTTTCTAGTGCGCACGCGCAGTGCTTGTATCGCTGATTAATAAAGTGCAGAGGTCAAGGATTCTTCGCTGGCTCAGGGACGTTAAGGCGCGTCCCGAAATAATTCTACGCGCACTTTACGCACAACGTTACGTATACCGTAATACCCTAATTTTGGCCTGCCCTGCACAAAGGAGCTTTCCACGATGCCCTGGCATTACGGTACGGCTGGACACCAGAGAGACTTCCTTCGAAATGTATCTGTGGTGCCTCTTTTTCAGTTGAGCATGCTCTGTCCTGTGCCAAGGGCGGCTTTCCATCGATCAGGCACAATGAGATACGGGACCTGACAGCTACCCTCCTCACAGAAGTGTGCAAGGACGTGTGCATTGAGCCAGAGCTTCAGCCTGTGAACGGTGAAGAATTGACGGGGTCAAACTGCCAACTCCCAGGAAGGTGCCCGCCTTGATATCGCTGCAAATGGTGTCTGGGGTGGTACCTTCGAGAGAACCTACTTCGACGTTAGGGTATTTAATCCCCATGCCCCGTCAAACAGATACACCAACCTGCAGTCAGTCTACAGAAAGCACGAACAAATCAAGAAGCGTGCATATGAAACAGCGGATAAGAGAACTTGAACACGCTACCTTCACGCCTCTGGTGCTCTCTTGCTACCGGTGGCTTGGCCAGGAGGCCCAACACTTTCTACAAAAAGACTCGCCTCCATGCTCGCCTCCAAGTGGACCACACCTACAGCCACACTCTCCGCTGGCTACGTTGTCGTCTAGCCTTCTCCCTTTTACGCTCCTCCATCCAGGCCATCAGGGGGTGCAAGATCATCATGCGGACATGCCCATCAGAATGCCCATGGCGGTCGATTGATCATCTCGGAAACACACCTTGTATCACTCTAAATTGCTCTCTATCTTCTTATTTATACCTGCATTCATACTGTATATAATATAACGTCGTGTGATTTTGGAAAAAACAAAAAAAAAAAAAACTCTAATTTTACGTATAATATACGTAGAAAGTTTAAAACGTAATACGCGCGCGCCGGCGCTTACACGTACGTGTACGTGTGGGGGTCGATCGATCGGGTGTGAGCGCACAACGTCGAGAGTCCGGTTACGAACGGACCGGTGTACATGTACCTAAAACTATGCCTAATGTTTTTTCTAGTGTTATGAATATAGAAAAAGCGCAGACTGACGCATCTCTAGCTCTGTCATGTCAGCTGGTTGAGTTTTACCGCGCGCGCGCATGGCTGGATGCGCATGCGCACAATGTTCTCACCTTTGACCTCAGATTCGTTCTAGAGACGCAGCAATCGCGCTGTACGATTAACTAAAACCGGGCAACGGTAAGTGGAGAGCAGTGAAGGAGCTATAGCTCTGCCTTCGTAAGACAGCTGACGGATAGCTCTTTCACCTACTCGGATTGGAACGGTCGGCTCCTACGTTTAGCGGAGGTATGAGTCATTTGCCACGCCATAATTGTAGCCGGTAACCTGAAAGCCATCATAAGGCGGCTACGGGAAGGTTTCGTAAGTTCCCATTCAAAACATAATGACTTCGCTACTTGTTTTACTGTTTGACATAAGTGAAATATTCCTTCGTTGGCTAGTTCCTTACCGTTGCTAGTCTAAACAAATGACGTAAAATACGGACGGTACACGCCCACTATGGATCACGTGACCTTGTTTGTGGGTGTGGTCGATGTTTGTTGTTTGTTTTTATAACACTGTTCAGTTTGATGTGTGTAACCCTTAGTTTTGGAGATATACAGCATTGGGTTGTTCCAGTGCTGGGACGTGCCTTAATGCCCCTGAGGGTGGGTGTAACGGAGTCGACTTTTCTGCAAGAGGTATGCACACAGAGTGTGTTTACGCAGTAAGTGAAAGTCTTCTGTATATGTACGCAGTAGAGTAAAGGTTGTTGTAGATACAGCTGTGTATGTTTGTTGTGATATTCGCTTGCTCTGTTTACCTTTCGATATAGAGCAACAAATCAACGGATGTGTAACCATGGCAACTTTGGGGCCCCGCCAACTCTCCAACGGTTTGGAGCCACACCCCAAACGGCAGCGCACCTCTCCCTCCCCTCCTCCGCTTCCCTCCTCACAAGATGGGAGGGACTTCCTCAATGATTGCCTCCCCGACGACGATGAGGACGCAACCTCTTCCCAACCTGCGATGGTACACTGGAAGCGCCCCCCTCCCCCAAAATTGGACCCCTCCTCGGACCCCCTAGTTTTCCAGCAAATCGACATCGACTACTACGTGGGGGCAAGTACGGTTCCGGGGATGCCTGGAATGGGAACTGGACCGGTACCGGTACTGAGGATGTTTGGAGTGACTAGCGATGGAAACAGCGTCTGTTCTCACATCCACGGTTTCCTTCCATATTTCTTCGTCCCTGCACCGAGGGATTTCTCAACTCAGCATTGCGCAACATTTCGAAGTGCTCTGAACACCGCGGTAATGGGCGATCTTCGGTCTAGCCGCGACAACATACGGGAGGCCGTACTCGCCGTGGAGATGTGCAGGAAAAGCTCGATTTACGGGTTTTACTTCAACGAGATGAGCGACTTCCTGCGGGTCACGGTGTCGCTGCCCAAACTGGTTGCACCGGCTCGAAGACTTGTCAGCTGCATTTCTGTACCACCTTTTGGACAAATTGATTACCAGGTAAATCTGTTGAACCTCTCTCTAAGGACACCCCTGAAATAAGGACACCTTTTCTTTCCCCAAGAACAGTTCTTGCATGCAATTTAACCCCTGAAATAAGGACACCTCACTAATATGGACACTTTCTTCTGTCCCATTGGTGTCTGGATTAGAAGAGTTCCAAAATTTTTTAGCTGATTAGTTTAGCATTTTTTAGTATTACATTATAAATATGACTCACTTTTTCGTAGGTGTATGAAGCAAACATAGATTTTGAAGTGAGGTTTATGGTTGACACTGGAGTGGTGGGGTGTAGTTGGATAGAGCTTCCGGCCGGGAAATACCGGTTCCGGAACCAGTCTCAGACCTGTGGAACCGGCACCCTCATCGGAGGGGGCGGGGCCTCTGAGATGAAGCCACACCCACCGGTAACGAGGTGCCAGATTGAAGTCGACGTTTCGTACGAGGACTTCATCAGTCATCTCCAGGAGGGGGAGTGGCAGGTTAGACCTGAAAAACCGGTTTTATATGCATACAATAATTATTAACCATGCAAATGGAACTGCCGAAGTTTTTTTCACGATTTGTACAAGTTTTGTAGTCCGGATTAGATTTGTAGTCCTGATTAGATTTGGTGTCATGATTAGATTGGCGTCCTGATTAGATTTGGTGTCCTGATTAGATTTGGTGTCCTGATTAGATGGGATGAGAACGGAATGGTGTAACCCACAAAGGACCATTTATATGTACCCCCTTGACATGAAATTACCAATGCGTTTTGAAAGGAGACAATCTTTTGCAAATCTCAGTATACCCTACCCATATTTCCCCACATTTTTAACTGTATTCAGTTCCACATGGTGTCTCTCCCCAGGCAATAGCTCCTGTGAGGATCCTGAGTTTTGACATCGAGTGTGCAGCCAAGAAGAAAGGGGCTTTCCCCGAGGCACAGCGAGATCCTGTCATTCAGATTGCTAACGTCGCCGTGCTACAGGGCGAGACAGAGCCGTTTGTGAAGAACGTGTTCACTCTTGACACGTGAGTTTTGGGGGAGAATGGGGGTTTGGTAATGGGGTATATATCTACTTTTAGCAAACAAAGGGGGAAGTTAATGCTAAATAACTACTGTCAATAAATCAAGCTATAATGAAAAGCACTAAAGTGCAAACCCTCGGCTAGTAGCGTCTGACACAGGCTAGCTACAGTAGTAGATAGCATGTGAGAGTCGATACACGCCCTTCGTTGTGACTTCTTGTGCCTTCAAGATAGACAGAGCAAGCGGACCCGAGCCTGTTCAAAATATAAGTGCATGCGCCTTTTCCGCAGCGATAAAAATGGCCGACTAGCATTAGCCGTACAATGGCGGAAGCGCTCTAGCTTTGCAACGAAGCGAAAACCGTTCGAAATTTCTGACCTTCATTGCCCGTTAAGTAGGTCGTATCGTTTGTGAGACGAACAGACACTTGAGAGGTGAGATTGAGAGTAACGGACAGACAGACCCAACTACAGTACCCTCGCTGCGCATGCGCGCCGAGGGTAATTATAGGGTGGTCTAAATTGTTCATACTTTAGCAGGCCAACCAACCATCCTCAATACCTTGACTATAATAATAGCAATACAAATTATAAAGATGTGCAAAAAGTATCTTGAATATTCCTCAGATGTGCCCCCATAGCTGGAACGGATGTGCGTGTGTTTGCGCCTGAGACCAAACTGCCTAAGTATGAGGCCGAGCTGCGTATGTCTGAGGCCGAGCTGCGTAAGTATGAGGCCGAGCTGCGTAAGTATGAGGCCGAGCTGCGTAAGTGTGAGACCCAGCTGCTGAAGGAATGGGCTGAGTTTCTGCAGGAACTGGATCCCGACATCATTACCGGCTACAACATCGTGAACTTTGACCTCCCATACCTCCTGAACAGAGCAAAAGCTCTAAAAGTCAGTTCTTTACTTTAAAAAGGCAAGACGCTCCAATTGCTAGATTTGCGTTTGGCAATGTGGCAGTATAATTATAAATGCAACTTACTAAAAAAGGAAATTAATTGCATTCTTTCGCTGGGCCCTATTGTTTTGTTCTATCTCTAGTAAAATTTTTTAAATTTAGCCCTTATATATACTGTCACATTCCATGACACTTGAATGCTAAACTAAATTTCCATTCTGTGCAGGTGGACTCATTCCCATACCTGGGACGGGTCCGGGACAGCAGGACGACAATGAGAGATTCCACGTTTGATTCCAGGGCGTACGGGAAGAGAGTCAACAAGATTATCAGTATAGAGGGACGAATTCAGTTTGATCTGTTCCAGGTACAAGTTTCAGGACAGTGTTAAGACGTGTCCTGTTAGTTTAGGACAGCCTTCAAACATGTCCTGTTATTTCAGGACAGCCTTCAAACATGTCCTGTTATTTCTCTCTCTCCCTCTCCATGAAGATTCTACTGAGGGATACGAAGCTTCGGTCTTACACCCTAAACTCAGTCAGCTACCATTTTCTGGGGGAGCAGAAAGAAGATGTCCATCACTCCATTATTACCGACCTTCAGGTAGAAAAATTTTAACGTCAGGTCAACACTTCAGGTAAAATTTTTAAGATACATACATTTTTTACTCTCCAGCTAACATTTTTTTCGGGCTTTAGACAATATTTTACGTCATTGTGCTGTTGTGTGTTTCAAGCTAGGGTTTTTTTATGATTGTTGGAATTTTCATTCAGAATGGGAATGAGCAGACTCGTCGCAGACTAGCCGTCTACTGTGTGAAAGACGCAGTTCTCCCGATCAGATTGCTGGATAAGCTGATGTGTCTGATTAACTACATGGAGATGGCCAGGTATATACAGTGGAACTCCTTTAATCCAGACACCAATGGGACAGAAGAAAGTGTCCGTATTAGTGAGGTGTCCTCATTTCAGGGGTTGCAAGAACTGTTCTTGGGGAAAGAAAGAGGTGTCCTCATTTCAGGGGTGTCCTTAGAGAGTGGTTCCACTGTTACAATAGAGGTGTCCTGATCAGTGAGGTGTGTCCTGATCAGTGAGGTGTCCTGATTAGTGAGGTGTCCTGATCAGTGAGGTGTCCTGATCAGTGAGGTGTGTCCTGATCAGTGAGGTGTCCTGATCAGTGAGGTGTCCCGATTAGTGAGGTGTCCTAAACCTTTCCTCCCCAGAGTAACAGGAGTACCGCTGGCATATGTACTGAGTAGAGGTCAACAGATTAAAGTCGTGTCGCAACTTCTGAGAAAGGTATGTCTTTCCTTCCCCCTCTCCCCTCTTTTCTTCTTCTCTCTCTCTCTCTCTCTTTCCTCCATCTCTTGTTCCATCTCTTCTTCAGTTTCAAATCTGCTAGTAACACTGTCTTTCCCCCACTGAAAAAACTAGGTTTTGATCGTTTTTTGCTCCTTCACCAGTTATACATACATCAGTTGCCTCTCTCTTCCCTCCATTTAAAACTGGTTCTAAACCTGTTAAACCAGTTTTCTCTTCTCGTCAGGCGAGAGAAAAGGATCTCCTGATGCCAGTATACAAGTCTGAAGCACAGGAGGAATACGCGGGGGCAACTGTTATCGATCCCTTCCGCGGGTACGTCGCCACGGAGATGTTTGTGTTTCCATGGTAACAACCACTCTTGGTTACCTTAGGTACTACAACATTCCCATAGCGACGCTGGATTTCTCTTCCTTGTATCCGTCCATCATGCAAGCTCATAATCTGTGCTATACCACACTTCTGATCAAATCCACAGATAGAGAAAGGTATGACATCATTACTCCCAGCAGGGACTAGCGCGGGTAGCGGAGGACGTGTATGCGGGAGAATGCGCCGCAATGAGATACCGAGGGGCCATCTCGCGAGGGAGATATCTAGTGAGACAGGAGGGGAGGGATGAACTGAGGAGGGACCTCGTAGGAAGTGAGGGAGCACTCCGAGGGACAAGGAGAGAAGGAGGTCGGAGAAGGAGGGGCGAGGACAGGCCAGGCCGAGAGGGGACAGGGGAAATAAGTGAAAAGTCGGAAAAGGAAAGAGGAAAGACGAGCGACATAGGAAGGAAAACGTTTAGGTCGGGGAGGTGGTAATCAGAAGGCGGTAATCATTCGTTTGAAGAGCTCAGTGAGAGGAAAAAGGGTAGTGCCGCGAAGGAAATTCTGGAAAAAGATCGTGAGTGCAAGAAAAAGTGGAGGAGCAAAGAAACAAGAGTTGAGGATGAGGAGGAACGAATGACTGAGGAACTAGAGAACCGTTTGTGTTCATAATTATATGTCACAGTCCCGCAAAAGGGTAGTTTTGTAACTTTGTTAGGATTGTCCTCGGGGACAGTAGGATGAATTTGTTGTGCAAAAAATCAGCCAATATTGTGAGTGTGAAGGAAATATGTGCGCCATACAGACATACACTACGATGCATACATACATACAGACATACAATACATACATTACCTACATACACAGAAGTATGAAGTAGTTAGAGTGTGTGTGTGAGCTGTTTGTACATACGTCGATAGTGGTGGGGTAAAAATTAATTTATTGTGTGTTTTCGTGTGAGCAGAGAGAATTAGAGAAAATATCGGAACGTGTTGTCTGTGTCGCCTACAGAGCGAAGCTGCGTTGAGAAGAGAAGGATTCATTCGTCGGCAGGTGCTGGACGGACGGCAGCTGCGCTTTAAAGCTTAGCGCCAACTCGTATATGGATTCACTGGTGCTACCTCGGGAGCAGCTCCCTGCATTGAAATATCACAGGTTGTTGTTGTGTTGGGGTTTTTGCGCGATTATTTAATTTGACTGTACGTGATTTACAATTTCGCCCCATCCAGCTCATTTAAGAGTGTTTGTACTTTTTAAGGAGTGTTGGACGGCGTTTGGAGACAGGCAGATGATTGATCAGTCCAAAAACCTCGTTGAACGGAAGTACGAAAAGTACTTGACGTCGCCAACGGTTACCCGCTTGATGCCGAAACAGGTATCAATTCACACGTTTCGTGTAGGTAGCGGCAACTCTTTCACTAAGAACAGTCTTGCATACAAATTTGGCCCCTGAGTTTTGTGCATCGCCAGAGTAGTTCCACTCGTGAATGGATGGTGTACACGTTGCAACCTGATTCGTGATTCCCAATTGGGAGAGCACCTCCGAGGAGCATCACGGGGAGAGTGAGATAAACGCCGACGTAACGGCAGGGGAGAGGGGCGGCGGTGTAGACGCTTCCTATTTTTTGTCTCCGTTTCCCTTTCCTCTTTTTTCGGGTTGGGTAAAGAGGAGGAGGGACGGTCCGGGTGCGCCCGGTGGCAACGACAGAGGAGAGAGCATGTCATGGAGACGTGGAATTAGACAGAGTGAGGAACATGGGCCGAGAGGCTGCAGAGATGATTATCTGCGACATTTTCCCTCATCCATCAAATTGGAGTTTGGACAAAGTCTGTCTCACATACCACACTTTCTTTTCTGTGGATGTTGGCTTACCCTTTTCTTCTCCCTTCTACAGGTGTACTTTCCCTTACCTACCTTATCAACAAGAAAAAGTTTGCTACTCCCAGTACTCCCATACTTATATCTTTCGCGTGTTTATATTGTCTATCTCCTATACCTCATTCTCTCAAACTCTCATACCTCCATTCTTCCCACTCTCATCCTCCCTTCTCCCAAACTCTAACTCTCATACCTTCATTCTTCCACACTCTCTTCACCTACATGCTTTCTCCCAAACGTCTCATACCTCAGTCTTCCACACATCTCATACGTCCATTCTCCCAAACTCTCATACCTCCATTCTTCCACACCTCTCATTACCTCTCCATTCTCCCAACTCCTCATACCTTCATTCTTCCAACCTCTCATACCTTCATTCTCCCAAACTCTCATACCTCCATTCTTCCAAACTCTCATACCTTCATTCTTCCAAACTCTCATTCTCCCATTCCCCCACTCCAGGTACGCAGGGCTCTATTTCACGAGACCGGAGACCCACGACAAGATGGACTGTAAAGGGATTGAGACTGTTCGTAGAGACAACTGCCGCCTGGTGGCCCGGCTCATCGACACCTGTCTCCACAAACTACTCCTGGACAGGTACCGTCCCATTCCCACTTTCTCATTCTCCCACTCTGATATCTCATACTTTAGATACACTCCAATTTTGATGCTCATTATTACTTCCGTACTTCAAATTTTTATGCCCCATACTTACATACTTGCAAACTTTGATACTTCAATTTCACATGCTGTAAGTTAAATATGTCATGTTTTCATGTCCCATAAACCCAAATCCTCATACTTCCATGATCCTATACTTTAATACTTTCATGTCTCTATAATTACATTCCTTCGTACTTCAAATATTTAGTATTTCAATCTTCATACTTCCATGTCTCCATGTCTCCATACGCCCATTCCAGGAACCCAGACGATGCACTGTCGTATGCCAAACAGACGATATCCGACCTCCTCTGCAACCGAGTGGACATATCTCAACTGGTCATCAGTAAAGAACTCACTAGGACAAGTGCCAGCAAGGAATATGCCACTGGACCTAAACTGGCTCATGTTGAGCTAGCTGAACGGTAAAAAGGAGTCTTTTATGTGAAAAGCAATTTTCCAACGCCTAAACTGTAGTTTCGTAGAGTTTGGCGAAATTTTCCCGTTTTTGTAGTAAATCAGAACAATTTTAAAGGCTGGAAGGGAGGGAGAAAGGAAGTATATATATGTGGCACAACCAGCTTTGACAATAAAGGCTTTGCTTTACTTGACTCTGACTGTATCAAATTATAGATTACGTAATGGGTAATAAGAATTATAGATTACGTAATGGGTAATGAGATTACGTAATGAGTAATGAGAATTATAGATTACGTAATGGGTAATGTGAATTATAGATTACGTAATGAGTAGTGAGATGGACTACTATTCTCCCAGGATGAGGAAGAGGGACCCTGGCTCTGCCCCAAACCTTGGCGACCGAGTACCTTACGTCATCATTGCCGCCAAGAAAGGCACACCGGCTTACATGAAGTCTGAGGTAATGTTTTGATGAAGGAGAAAAAAATGAAGGAGATATTTTGCTGTTTTGTAGGTGTGGTTTATTGTGTAATAACCCCCTCCCTCCCTCCTCATCTCTTCCAGGACCCGCTCCATGTCCTAGACAACGGAGTACCGATTGATACGTCCTACTATCTCGAAAACCAACTGCTCAAACCTCTTCTCAGGATATTTGAACCCATCCTCGGAGAAAGGGCCAAGAACGAACTCCTGCGTAAGTCTTGATGATAATTATCGATACTCAACTTGCAAAACTGATGGGTTGTTTTGTATTTATTGTGTTTCCATTAGAGCAGTAGGAAATGCAACAAGTGACTGCACAAATATTCATACCAAATACAAAGACAAAATAATTTCCAAAGAAAATATTTGAGCAAAGCTTATGTAAACTGCGCGTTTTTTTGCTAACTTGACAAATCATCTAATCTGTTAATGGTATATAAAAGGCTGCTAAGACATGTCAAAAAACCAGAAAAACGGTACTTTTCCAGTCCACTCTTCCTGTCTTCCATATACATGAAATCTGTAAAATGGTAATAAAAAAAACTTGCACAACATCTAAGAAAACATTTTCTCTCTCCCCTGTCCTCCTCAAAGACGGCCAGCACACCATGAGTAAGTCTGTGGTACCGTCTTCCGGAGGCAGTGGAATGCTGTTTAAATTCACAAAGAAGAAATACAAGTGCATCGGTTGTCGTGCCGTCATTGACAGAGACGGTATGTGTTAATTACCGACTTAAGGCTTCTTTTGTTGTTATTAGATCAACAGAGGAACGAGTTAAGGTATAGGAATCAGGTGTTTCTAAATCTTTTGAATGCCAGTGAACTAACTTGGTGTCTATAGGCTCTCTGGTCTATTTGATGCATACATACAGTGAGATAATGGGCATTTGATTGCAGGTGTGAGGCGGTGAGGGAATAAAGAAGGTGTGTTGTTTAGCAACTGCAATGGTTCATTGCAGTAGAACCAGTGGGGAGAACAAGGTAGAGAAAGAAGAGGACAACGGGAAGGACGGAGGGAGGGAGGGACAGGAGGAAGACGAAGAAAGAACGAGATGCAGAAGAAAGAAAGGAGAAGACGAAAGAGTAGCGAGGAAAGAGAAAGAGCAAGATGAAGACGCAAGAGAGGAAAGAAAGAGCGAGGAATATAGCAGCACTCGGAGAAGAGAGATCGAAGAAACAGAGGACTAAGTACACGACAATCGAATCCCATCGCGAGAAACGCGACGCACGCCGACCTATCATCGAGATCCAGTCTCGGTTAACTAACTCCACATGACGCCTCCTCCTCCTCCAAGATCAAGCTGTGTGTGCCCACTGCTCTAAAGGACGAATCGTCCATCTACCAGAGAGAAATGACTCACCTCGCTGATCTAGAAAGAAAGTTCAGTCGTCTCTGGACCGAGTGTCAGCGGTGTCAGGGGAGTCTGCACGAAGACGTCATCTGTACCAAGTATATATATACAGTGGGACCTCTGAATAAGGGACACATTGAAGGTGAGAGGTGTCCTTTATTCAGAGGTGTCACTAATGTATTAGTATGGGGCAGAACCAAGTGTCCTTTATAGAGAGCTGTCCTTTATTCAGAGGTGTCACTAATGTATTAGTATGGGGCAGAACCAAGTGTCCTTTATAGAGAGCTGTCCTTTATTCAGAGGTGTCACTAATGTATTAGTATGGGGCAGAACCAATAGAGAGGTGTCCTTTATAGAGAGGTGTCCTTTATTCAGAGGTGTCACTAATGTATTAGTATGGGGCAGAACCAATAGAGAGGTGTCCTTTATAGAGAGGTGTCCTTTATTCAGAGGTGTCCTTTATAGAGAGGTGTCCTTTATTCAGAGGTGTCACTAATGTATTAGTATGGGGCAGAACCAAGTGTTCTTTATAGAGAGGTGTCCTTTATTCAGAGGTGTCACTAATGTATTAGTAGGGGGCAGAACCAAGTGTTCTTTATAGAGAGGTGTCCTTTATTCAGAGGTGTCACTAATGTATTAGTATGGGGCAGAACCAAGTGTCCTTTATAGAGAGGTGTCCTTTATTCAGAGGTGTCACTAATGTATTAGTATGGGGCAGAACCAAGTGTCCTTTATAGAGAGGTGTCCTTTATTCAGAGGTGTCACTAATGTATTAGTATGGGGCAGAACCAAGTGTCCTTTATAGAGAGGTGTCCTTCATTCAGGGGTTCCACTGTAATAACCAGCTTTTATATGTAAAATATGCCCATGAAAATCATGAATTTTTTTTCTCCATACCTATATACAAAAAGAATAATGTTTACTCTCCTTTTTCTGCTCCCTACATAGTCAAGATTGCCCGATATTCTACATGAGGAAGAAGACTCAGAAAGATCTAAATGAACAAGACAAAACCATCAGACGTTTCACGGCATCGGCTTATGATGGGGACTGGTAAATTATGCGTTCTCCATTATTACGCTTTAAAACATCAGCTTATATATGGGGGACTGGTTAGCTATAATTATAGCTTTATAATGTTCTTGATTATTCTACGGCTGAAATGCTTTTACATGTGTGACACTGTCTATAACTAATATGACCAGTTTTTTCATTGTAGCTAGCTACCTACGTTGTTCAAGTTGAGCTGTACTTTTGAAGGGCCGGATCCTTTATTTGACGTAAAGCTGGATTTGTTCGACCGCAATTTGTTCCATGGCCGCCAGATTGGTAAAACAAAAGCGAATATCGATCGGATCGGAGAGGCTTTCTCCGAGGTGCTTGACGAAGTACGGATGGTTCTCGCGACTGCAGCATGTGCTGGTCGTCCCCTCGCAGCCAAGTCCGTCCCACAGTACGTTGTCGGTGAACGGCATGCCGTTGAAGTCACCTATCTCGGCCGCAGCCAAATCCACCGTTGCTGACGATTCACAGAAGTAATCCTCTCCGACGAACGCCGGGGGTGAGGGGGCGCCCGCTTCGCACGGGCATCGCCGGCTGGCGTCAGCGCTTGGGACGGTACCTTTCGTCAGCCCGAGGACGAAGGACCAGATGTGCGTCGCCAGGTCCATAGTCGTATCGTCTAGCATGCCGCCACGAGTGAGGCTTATTCCGCTCAAGTTCTTGGGGAAAAAAAGTGTCCTTATTAGAGAGGTGTCTTCATTTCAGGGGTGTCCTTAAAAAGGTTCCCACTTACCGTCATTTGTCAGGTACCAGAAGAAGTACTGCCAAATGAAACGCTCCGTCACGTAGCCGCGCGACTTCAGCGACTGCAACGCGTAAACTCCAAATAATGCCCACTCGTCTAAAACGATCATCAATTTACCTGCATGGCCTTAATGACTTGTAGGTTAGGGACCGTCTCGATCTCAGAGTGTTTGGCGGCGAAATAGTCCTTCTTGGCCACGAGGACGCCCTCTTTGAAGAGGTGTTCGTAAATGGCCTTCCGATTCTTCTTGGGAATCAGCATTTCTAGTCGGGAGAACGGGGAGATGAAAATTAGGTCCTTCTCGTGACGATGAAACGGGGGTCGTTGCGACTAGCTACGGCTTAGCAGATCTCGAACTTTTATTTACCTCTTCCCACTTTCACGTGTTTCTAGTGCGCACGCGCAGTGCTTGTATCGCTGATTAATAAAGTGCAGAGGTCAAGGATTCTTCGCTGGCTCAGGGACGTTGGCGCGTCCCGAAATAATTCTACACGCACTTTACGCACAACGTTACGTATACCGTAATACTCTAATTTTTATTTTTTATTTTTTTTATTTTTATTTATTTTTATTTATATTATATACAGTGTCTGGGGAGCTGCAGGGTGTCGCTGGTGGAAGGGGTGAGTTGAGGTGTCTGGGAGGTGAGACAGACACCTCATGTTCATATGGTGTATGTTCGTGTGTTAACGGTTCCGCCCATTGCTCTGGGTGCGTGGTCTATGGCCCTAGTGCTATGGCAGCCACCTGAGTATTATTATTATTATTATTATATTATATACAGTATGAATGCAGATATAAATAAGAGGATAGAGAGCAATTTAGAGTGATACAAGGTGTGTCTCCGAGATGATCAAATCGACCGCCATGGGCATTCTGATGGCATGTCCGCATGATGATCTTGCACCCCTGATGGCCTGGATGGAGGAGCGTAAAAGGGAGAAGGCTAGACGACAACGTAGCCAGCGGAGAGTGTGGCTGTAGGTGTGGTCCCACTTGGAGGCGAGCATGGAGGCGAGTCTTTTGTAGAAAGTGTTGGCCTCCCTGGCCAAGCCACCGGTAGCAGAGAGCACCAGAGGCGTGAAGGTAGCGTGTTCAACTTCTCTTATCCGCTGTTCATATGCACGCTTCTTGAATACTCTAATTTTGCGTATATACGTAGAAAGTTTAAAACGTAATACGCGCGCGCCGGCGCTTACACGTACGTGTACGTGTGGGGGTCTATCGATCGGGTGTGAGCGCACAACGTCGAGAGTTAACGGACCGGTGCACCGGTCCGTTATAGTTTTAGGTACATGTACATGTACATGTACCTAAAACTATGCCTAATGTTTTTTCTAGTGTTATGAATATAGAAAAAGCGCAGACTGACGCATCTCTAGCTCTGTCATGTCAGCTGGTTGAGTTTTACCGCGCGCGCGCATGGCTGGATGCGCATGCGCACAATGTTCTCACCTTTGACCTCAGATTCGTTCTAGAGACGCAGCAATCGCGCTGTACGATTAACTAAAACCGGGCAACGGTAAGTGGAGAGCAGTGAAGGAGCTATAGCTCTGCCTTCGTAAGACAGCTGACGGATAGCTCTTTCACCTACTCGGATTGGAACGGTCGGCTCCTACGTTTAGCGGAGGTATGAGTCATTTGCCACGCCATAATTGTAGCCGGTAACCTGAAAGCCATCATAAGACGGCTACGGGAAGGTTTCGTAAGTTCCCATTCAAAACATAATGACTTCGCTACTTGTTTTACTGTTTGACATAAGTGAAATATTCCTTCGTTGGCTAGTTCCTTACCGTTGCTAGTCTAAACAAATGACGTAAAATACGGACGGTACACGCCCACTATGGATCACGTGACCTTGTTTGTGGGTGTGGTCGATGTTTGTTGTTGTTTATAATCACTTGTTCAGGTTTGATGTGTGTAACCCCTTAGTTTTGGAGATACAGCATTTGGGTGTTTCCAGTGCTGGGACGTGCCTTAATGCCCCTTCGCTGGTGGGTGTAACGGAGTCGACTTTTCTGCAAGAGGTATGCACACAGAGTGTGTTTTACGCAGTAAAGTGAAAGCTCTGTATATGTACGCAGTAGAGTAAAGGTTGTTGTAGATACAGCTGTGTGTTGTTGTGATATTCGCTTGCTCTGTTTACCTTTCGATATAGAGCAACAAATCAACGGATGTGTAACCATGGCAACTTTGGGGCCCCGCCAACTCTCCAACGGTTTGGAGCCACACCCCAAACGGCAGCGCACCTCTCCCTCCCCTCCTCCGCTTCCCTCCTCACAAGATGGGAGGGACTTCCTCAATGATTGCCTCCCCGACGACGATGAGGACGCAACCTCTTCCCAACCTGCGATGGTACACTGGAAGCGCCCCCCCTCCCCAAAATTGGACCCCCTCCTCGGACCCCCTAGTTTTTCCAGCAAATCGACATCGACTACTACGTGGGGGCAAGTACGGTTCCGGGGATGCCTGGAATGGGAACTGGACCGGTACCGGTACTGAGGATGTTTGGAGTGACTAGCGATGGAAACAGCGTCTGTTCTCACATCCACGGTTTCCTTCCATATTTCTTCGTCCCTGCACCGAGGGATTTCTCAACTCAGCATTGCGCAACATTTCGAAGTGCTCTGAACACCGCGGTAATGGGCGATCTTCGGTCTAGCCGCGACAACATACAGGAGGCCGTGCTCGCCGTGGAGATGTGCAGGAAGAGCTCGATTTACGGGTTTTACTTCAACGAGATGAGCGACTTCCTGCGGGTCACGGTGTCGCTGCCCAAACTGGTTGCACCGGCTCGAAGACTTGTCAGCTGCATTTCTGTACCACCTTTTGGACAAATTGATTACCAGGTAAATCTGTTGAACCTCTCTCTAAGGACACCCCTGAAATAAGGACACCTTTTCTTTCCCCAAGAGCAGTTCTTGCATGCAATTTAACCCCTGAAATAAGGACACCTCACTAATATGGACACTTTCTTCTGTCCCATTGGTGTCTGGATTAGAAGAGTTCCAAAATTTTTTAGCTGATTAGTTTAGCATTTTTTAGTATTACATTATAAATATGACTCACTTTTTCGTAGGTGTATGAAGCAAACATAGATTTTGAAGTGAGGTTTATAGTTGACACTGGAGTGGTGGGGTGTAGTTGGATAGAGCTTCCGGCCGGGAAATACCGGTTCCGGAACCAGTCTCAGACCTGTGGAACCGGCACCCTCATCGGAGGGGGGCGGGGCCTCTGAGATGAAGCCACACCCACCGGTAACGAGGTGCCAGATTGAAGTCGACGTTTCGTACGAGGACTTCATCAGTCATCTCCCAGAGGGGGAGTGGCAGGTTAGACCTGAAAAACCGGTTTTATATGCATACAATTATTAACCATGCAAATGGAACTGCCGAAGTTTTTTTCACGATTTGTACAAGTTTTGTAGTCCGGATTAGATTTGTAGTCCTGATTAGATTTGGTGTCATGATTAGATTGGCGTCCTGATTAGATTTGGTGTCCTGATTAGATTTGGTGTCCTGATTAGATGGGATGAGAACGGAATGGTGTAACCCACAAAGGACCATTTATATCTACCCCCTTGACATGAAATTACCAATGCGTTTTGAAAGGAGACAATCTTTTGCAAATCTCAGTATACCCTACCCATATTTCCCCACATTTTTAACTGTATTCAGTTCCACATGGTGTCTCTCCCCAGGCAATAGCTCCTGTGAGGATCCTGAGTTTTGACATCGAGTGTGCAGCAGAGAAAGGTACTTTCCCCGAGGCACAGCGAGATCCTGTCATTCAGATTGCTAACGTCGCCGTGCTACAAGGCGAGACAGAGCCGTTTGTGAAGAATGTTTTCACTCTTGGAAGGTGGGTTTTGGGGGAGAATGGGGGTTTGGTAATGGGGTATATCTACTTTTAGCAAACAAAGGGGGAAGTTAATGCTAAGTAACTACTGTCATAAATCAAGCTATAATGAAAAGCACTAAGTGCAAACCCTCGGCCTAGTAGCGTCTGACACGGGCTAGCTACAGTAGTAGATAGCATGTGAGAGTCGATACACGCCCTTCGTTGTGACTTCTTGTGCCTTCAAGATAGACAGAGCAAGCGGACCCGAGCCTGTTCAAAATATAAGTGCATGCGCCTTTTCCGCAGCGATAAAAATGGCCGACTAGCATTAGCCGTACAATGGCGGAAGCGCTCTAGCTTTGCAACGAAGCGAAAACCGTTCGAAATTTCTGACCTTCATTGCCCGTTAAGTAGGTCGTATCGTTTGTGAGACGAACAGACACTTGAGAGGTGAGATTGAGAGTAACGGACAGACAGACCCAACTACAGTACCCTCGCTGCGCAGCGCCGCCGAGGGGTAATTATAGGGTGGTCTAAATTGTTCATACTTTAGCAGGCCAACCAACCATCCTCAATACCTTGACTATAATAATATAGCAATACAAATTATAAAGATGTGCAAAAAGTATCTTGAATATTCCTCAGATGTGCCCCCATAGCTGGAACGGATGTGCGTGTGTTTGCGCCTGAGACCAAACTGTGTATGTCTGAGGCCGAGCTGCGTAAGTATGAGGCCGAGCTGCGTAAGTGTGAGACCCAGCTGCTGAAGGAATGGGCTGAGTTTCTGCAGGAACTGGATCCCGACATCATTACAGGCTACAACATCGTGAACTTTGACCTCCCATACCTCCTGAACAGAGCAAAAGCTCTAAATGTCAGTTCTTTACTTTAAAAAGGCAAGACGCTCCAATTGCTAGATTTGCGTTTGGCAATGTGGCAGTATTATAAATGCAACTTACTAAAAAAGGAAATTAATTGCATTCTTTCGCTGGGCCCTATTGTTTTGTTCTATCTCTAGTAAAATTTTTTAAATTTAGCCCTTATATATACTGTCACATTCCATGACACTTGAATGCTAAACTAAATTTCCATTCTGTGCAGGTGGACTCATTCCCATACCTGGGACGGGTCCGGGACAGCAGGACGACAATGAGAGATTCCACGTTTGATTCCAGGGCGTACGGGAAGAGAGTCAACAAGATTATCAGTATAGAGGGACGAATTCAGTTTGATCTGTTCCAGGTGAGGTTTAGGACAGTGTTAAGACGTGTCCTGTTAGTTTAGGACAGCCTTCAAACATGTCCTGTTATTTCAGGACAGCCTTCAAACATGTCCTGTTATTTCTCTCTTCTCGCTCCTTCCATGAAGATTCTACTGAGAGATACGAAGCTTCGGTCTTACACCCTAAACTCAGTCAGCTACCATTTTCTGGGTGAGCAGAAAGAAGATGTCCATCACTCTATTATCTCCACACTTCAGGTAAAAAAATTTTAACGTCAGGTAAACATTTCAGGTAAATACTAATTTGTGCATTTTTTACTCTCCAGTGAACTTTTTTTCGGGCTTTGCGTAATATTTTACATCATTGTGCTGCTGTTCTGTGTTTTTGCTGCTTGTATTTCGAGCTGGGGTTTTGTTTTTTTAATGATTGTTGGAATTTTCATGCAGAAAGGGAATGAGCAGACTCGTCGCAGACTAGCCGTCTACTGTGTGAAAGACGCAGTTCTCCCGATCAGATTGCTGGATAAGCTGATGTGTCTGATTAACTACATGGAGATGGCCAGGTATATATACAGTGGAACTCCTCTAATCCAGACACCAATGGGACAGAAGAAAGTGTCCATATTAGTGAGGTGTCCTTATTTCAGGGGTTGAATTGCATGCAAGAACTGTTCTTGGGGAAAGAAAAGGTGTCCTTATTAGAGAGGTGTCCTCATTTCAGGGGTGTCCTTAGAGAGGGGTTCCACTGTTACAATAGAGGTGTCCTGATCAGTGAGGTGTCCTGATCAGTGAGGTGTCCTGATCAGTGAGGTGTCCTGATTAGTGAGGTGTCCCGATTAGTGAGGTGTCCTAAACCTTTTCTCCCCAGAGTAACAGGAGTACCGCTGGCATATGTACTGAGTAGAGGTCAACAGATTAAAGTCGTGTCGCAACTTCTGAGAAAGGTATGTCTTTCCTTCCCCCTCTCCCCTCTTTTCTTCTTCTCTCTCTCTCTCTCTCTTTCCTCCATCTCTTGTTCCATCTCTTCTTCAGTTTCAAATCTGCTAGTAACACTGTCTTTCCCTCACTAAAAAAAACTAGGTTTTGATCGTTTTTGCTCCTTCACCAGTTATACGCACATCAGTTGCCTCTCTCTTCCCTCTCTTTAAAACCGGTTCTAAACCTGTTAAACCAGTTTTCTCTTCTCGTCAGGCGAGAGAAAAGGATCTCCTGATGCCAGTACACAAGTCTGAAGCACAGGAGGAATACGCGGGGGCAACCGTTATCGAACCCTCCCGTGGGTACGTCGCCACGGAGATGTTTGTGTTTCCATGGTAACAACCACTCTTGGTTACCTTAGGTACTACAACATTCCCATAGCGACGCTGGATTTCTCTTCCTTGTATCCGTCCATCATGCAAGCTCACAATCTGTGCTATACCACACTTCTGTTCAAGTCCACAGATAGAGAAAGGTATGACATCATTACTCCCATTGACTTTGTATGGAGAGAATTAGGGATTACGTCGTCATCGTTTCAGGTTAACCCCGGACCAGTACATTAGGACACCGTCGGGTAATCATTTCGTGAAGAGCTCAGTGAGAAAAGGGTTATTGCCGGAAATTCTGGAAGATCTGTTGAGTGCAAGAAAAAAGTGAGAACTGTTGTTGCATAATTATATGTACAGTCGCAAAATTGTAGTTTTGTGAATTTTAGGATTTTCCACGGGGAAATTTGTTGCAAAAATCAGCAAATTGTGAAAAATGTGTGCGCCATACATACATACATACATACACAATAAGTATGAAGTAAAGTGTGAGCTGTTGTTACATATACGTAGATAGTGTGGGTTAAAAAATTAATTTATTATTGTGTTTTTGCGAGAATTAGAGAAAATATCTGAACGTGTTGCCTACAGAGCGAAGGCTGAGTTGAAAGAAGAGAAGGATTCATTTCGTCGTAAGGTGCTGGACGGACGGCAGCTGGCTTTAAAGCTTAGCGCCAACTCCGTATATGGCTTTACTGGTGCTAACGTCGGGAAGCTCCCCTGCATTGAAATATCACAGGTGTGCTGGTTTTTTTGGCGATTTTACGATATTCTACAATTTCGCCCTTTTAGAGCGTGACGTCATTTGGAAGACAGATGATTGATCAGTCCAAAAACCTCGTTGAACGGAAGTACTGCGTCGCCAACGGTTACCCCTTTGATGCCAAGGTACATACAATCAACATGTGTATAGCGGAACCTCTCTATTCTGTTTCACTAAGAACAGTTCTTGCATACAAATTACCCCCTGAGGTTTTGTGCATAGGCAGAGGAGTTCCACTGTGAATGTATGTTGTACATGTGCAACCTGATTCGTTGATTCCCAATTGGAGAGCACCTCCGATGATGTCATCACAGGTGATATACGGCGACACGGACTCGGTGATGGTGCGGTTTGGAGTCGGGACGGTGGCAGAGAGCATGGAACTGGGACGAGAGGCTGCAGAGATGATATCTGCGACATTTCCTCATCCAATCAAATTGGAGTTTGAAAAGGTCTGTCTCACAACCACACCCCTTTTCTTTTCTGTGGAATGTTGACTTAACCCTTCTCTCCCTTTCAAAGGTGTACTTTCCATACCTCCTTATCAACAAGAAAAGGTTTGATACACCCATACTCCCATACTTCTAATATTTCACTGTTTATTGTCGCAATCTCCTATACCTTCATTATTCCAAACTCTCATACCTCCATTCTTCCACACTCTCATACCTCCATTCTCCCAAACTCTCATTCTCCAAACTCTCATACCTCCATTCTCCCAAACTCTCATACCCTCATTCTCCCATTCCCCCACTCCAGGTACGCAGGGCTTTTTTTCACGAGACCGGAGACCCACGACAAGATGGACTGCAAGGGGATCGAGACAGTTCGTAGAGACAACTGCCGTCTGGTGGCCCGGCTCATCGACACCTGTCTCCACAAACTACTCCTGGACAGGTACCGTCCCATTCCCACTTTCTCATTCTCCCACTCCGATATCTCATACTTTAGATACACTCCAATTTTTATGCTCCTTATTACTTCCATACTTCAAATTTTGATGCCCCATACTTACATATTTGCAAACTTTGATACTTCGATTTTACATGCTGTAAGTTAAACTGTCATGTTTTCATGTCTCATAAACCCAAATCCTCATACTTCCATGTCTCTATACTCATGAGCCCATACTTTAATACTTTCATGTCTCTAATTACATTCCTTCGTACTTCAAATACTTAGTCTTTCAATCTTCATACTTCCATGTCTCCATGTCTCCATACGCCCATTCCAGGAACCAGACGACGCACTGCGTATGCCAAACAGAGATATCCGATCCTCTGCAACCGAGGGTGGACATATCTCAACTGGTCATCAGTAAAGAGCTCACTAGGACAAGTGGCAGCAAGGAATATGCCACGTGGACCTAACACTGGCTCATGTTGAACTAGCTGAACGGTAAGAATCTTCTATTGACAGTTTCCAAACTGTAGGTTAGTTTGTGAGAGCTGCGAAAATTGCCAGTACATCATACACGGGCTGGAAGGGGAGGGGAGAACGGAAAAGTATGCATTCAACCAGCTTTGGACAATAAGGCTGTGCTTTGACTTGTACTGGAACTAGGGACGTCGTAGGAATACAAAGTATAGCAGTACGTAATGGATACTAAGACTATAGATACGTAATGACGAGCGTGATGGATTATAGAGTTACGTAATGGATAATGTAAATTATAGAGTCTACGTATATGGGTAATAGAATTAGTAGATTACGTGAAGGGTAATGAGATTACGTACATGAGTAATGAGAATTAGAGATACGTAATGGGTAATGTGAATTGTAGATTACGTAATGAGGAGTCATCAGATGGACTACTATTCTGCCAGGATGAGGAAGAGGGACCTGGCTCTGCCAAACCTTTGGCGACGAAAGAGTCTACCTTACGTCACTCATTGTGCCGCAAGAAAGCACCACACCAGGCTACATGCAAGTCTGAGGTAGGTGTATGTGTGCCAAGAGTTTTTTAAGGAAGAGAAAAACGAGATATTTTGCTGCTTTGTAGTGTGATTAGTGTAATAACCCCCTCCCTCCCTCCCTCTCTCCAGCAGACCGCCTGCGGGTCTAGAAACGGAGAGACACCAGATGCGTCGAAAGTAGTCGATTGATCGTCCACTATCTCGAAAACCAACTGCTTCAACCTCTTCTCAGGGATATTATTGAACCAATCCTCGAGAGGAAAGAAGGGTCAAGAAAACGAACTCTGCGTAAGTCTTTGATGATAGATTATCGAATACTCCATCTGCAAAACTGATGGTATTGGGTGTTCTACATTGTGTGTGTTTCCGACGGAGAAGGAGGACATACAAGTGACTGCGCACGCAAATAGTCTATCCCAAAATACAGAAAAAATAATTTACATAAGAGAGAAATATTGAGCAAGCTATGTAACTGCACGTTTTTTTGCTAACTGGACAATCATCTAATCTTTTAATGGGTATAAAGGTTGCTAAAGATTTAAAAACCAGAAAAACGGTACTTTTCCTGTCCATTCTTCCTGTCTTCCATATACATGAAATCTGTAATGGTAAGAAAAAAAACTTGCACAACATCTAAGAAAACATTTTTCCTCTCTCCCTGTCCCTCCTCAAACGGCCAGCCACCCATGAGTAAGTCTGTGGTACCGTCTTCCGGAGGCAGTGGAATGCTGTTTAAATTCACCAAGAAGAAACACAAGTGCATCGGTTGTCGTGCCGTCATTGACAGAGACGGTATTGTTAATTACGACTTAAGGCTTCTTTTGTTGTTATTAGAATCAACAGAGGGAACGAGTTAAGGTAATAGGAATCAGTGTTTCCAAATCTTTTGAATGCCAGTGAACTAACTTGGTGTCTATAGGCTCTCTGATTATTTGATGCATACATACAGTGAGATAATGGGCATTGATGTGTGACAGGTAAAGAAGGTGTTTGTGCAAGCTGCGCTATTAGTTCATGCGAAGGCTAGACCATTTGGTGTCTCAACATTCTCTACAGTGTATACTTAGTGCCACCTTACTTTCTTCGTCTCTTTCCTCCCTCTGCTCTCCCATTCCCTCTCTCCTCTCCTCCCTCCCTCTCTCTCCCTCCCTCCTCCCTCCTCTGCCTCCCTACCTCTCCTCCCTCTCTTCCTCCCTCTCGTCCCTCCTCTCATCCCTCCCTTCCTCCCTCTCCTCCCTCTTCCTTCCTCCTTTTCCTCCTCTCCTCCCTCTCCTCCACTCTCCTCTCCTCTCTCTTCCTCTCTCTCCCCAAGATCAAGCTGTGTGTGCCCACTGCTGCTAAGACGAATCAGTCCATTACCAGAGAGGAAATGACTCACCTCGCTGATCTAGAAAGAAAGTTCAGTCGTCTCTGGACCGCGTGTCAGCGGTCGTCAGGGAGTCTGCACGAAGACGTCATCTGTACCAAGTATATATTACAGTGGAACCTCTGAATAAGGGACACATTGAAAGTGTCCTTTATTCAGAGGTGTCACTAATGTATTAGTATGGGGCAGAACCAAGTGTCCTTTATAGAGAGGTGTCCTTATGTCACTTATGCAGAGTGTCCTTTATAGAGAGGTGTCCTTTATTCAGAGGTGTCACTAATGTATTAGTATGGGGCAGAACCAAGTGTCCTTTATAGAGAGGTGTCCTTTATTCAGAGGTGTCACTAATGTATTAGTATGGGGCAGAACCAAGTGTCCTTTATTCATGAGAGGTGTCACTTGTATTCAGAGCAGAACCATGTCCTTTATAGAAGGTGTCCTTTATTCAGAGGTGCACTAATGTATTAGTATGGGCAGAACCAAGTGTCCTTTCTATAGAGAGGTGTCCTTTATCAGAGGTGTCACTAATTGTATTAGTATGAGGCAGAACCTAGTTTCCTTTATAGAGAGGTGTCTTTATTCAGAGGTGTCACTAATGTATTAGTATGGGCAGAACCAAGTGTCCTTATCAGAGGTGTCTTTAGAGAGGTGTCCTTTATTCAGAGGTGTCACTAATGTATTAGTATGGGGCAGAACCAAGTGTCCTTTATAGAGAGGTGTCCTTTATTCAGAGGTGTCACTAATGTATTAGTATGGGGCAGAACCAAGTGTCCTTTATAGAGAGGTGTCACTAATGTATTAGTATGGGGCAGAACCAAGTGTCCTTTATAGAGAGGTGTCCTTTATTCAGAGGTGTCACTAATGTATTAGTATGGGGCAGAACCAGTGTCTTTATAGAGAGGTGTCCTTTATTCAGAGGTGTCACTAATGTATTAGTATGGGGCAGAACCAAGTGTCCTTTATAGAGAGGTGTCCTTTATTCAGAGGTGTCACTAATGTATTAGTATGGGGCAGAACCAAGTGTCCTTTATAGAGGTGTCCTTTATTCAGAGGTGTCACTATGTATTAGTATGGGGCAGAACCAAGTGTCCTTTATAGAGAGGTGTCCCTTTAAGAGAGGTGTCCTTTATCGAGGTTCCACTGTAATACCAGCTTTTATATGTAAATATATGCCCATGAAAATCCATGAATTTTTTTCTCCATACCTAATATACAAAAAGAATAATGTTTACTCTCCTTTTTCTGCTCCCTACATAGTCAAGATTGCCCGATATTCTACATGAGGAAGAAGATCAGAAAGATCTAAATGAACAAGACAAAACCATCAGACGTTTCACGGCATCGGCTTATGATGGGGACTGGTAAATAATGCGTTCTCCATTATTACGCTTTAAAACATCAGCTTATATATGGGGGACTGGTTAGCTATAATTATAGCTTTATAATGTTCTTGATTATTCTACGGCTGAAATGCTTTTACATGTGTGACACTGTCTATAACTAATATGACCAGTTTTTTCATTGTAGCTAGCTACCTACGTTGTTCAAGTTGAGCTGTACTTTTGAAGGGCCGGATCCTTTATTTGACGTAAAGCTGGATTTGTTCGACCGCAATTTGTTCCATGGCCGCCAGATTGGTAAAACAAAAGCGAATATCGATCGGATCGGAGAGGCTTTCTCCGAGGTGCTTGACGAAGTACGGATGGTTCTCGCGACTGCAGCATGTGCTGGTCGTCCCCTCGCAGCCAAGTCCGTCCCACAGCACGTTGTCGGTGAACGGCATGCCGTTGAAGTCGCCTATCTCGGCCGCAGCCAAATCCGCCGTTGCTGACGATTCACAGAAGTAATCCTCTCCGACGAACGCCGGGGGTGAGGGGGCGCCCGCTTCGCACGGGCAGCGCCGGCTGGCGTGAGCGCTTGGGACGGTACCTTTCGTCAGTCCGACGACGAAGGACCAGATGTGCGTCGCCAGGTCCGTAGTCATATCGTCTAGCGTACCGCCGCGAGTGAGGCTTATTCCGCTCAGGTACGGATAGTTGATGGAGTTCTCTCCGGCCAGAACGTTGAAGAAGGCTCCAGCGCTGCCGATCTGGTACGCTGCGATCCTTCCGCAAACGCTAGAGTACGGCGTTGCGCTGTTGATCGCCACAGGCCCCAGGCAACCACCGGCGCTTGTAGCACCTGTCGCGCTGGCTATGCCGGCCACGCACACGTGGGGTCGGGTCTGTGCCAGACCTGTGACAGTGTTGGCTGCGGCGAAGTCGGAGCTTAGATCCGTACAAGGAGGCGAGTCGGCTCTTCTAAAGTCGAAATTTATAATTTCCTTCCATCCGTGGCCGCCACACGGGTGCGTGAACTGGTGAACCAGATCAGCCATCTCCTTCTTCTCCTCCAGATCTTCCGCTATCTCGTCGTACTCGGCCGTTATCTCCTCCGCGTGCTGCTCGAGCGCGGGCCCCGTCTCTCCGGACAGCCCCGCCACCGCTTTCTCTGCGCTCTCAAGAACCTCAACGTCCTCTTTCAGCTCTTTGAACGCGCACTTGAACTCATCCAGAACTGCCGAAACGTCGTCCACTTTGCAGTTGAGCTCATCGGATTTCGTCATCAGTTGCTGGAGGAGGTCTTGTGCCTGCTGTATCTTCTGAGAAACATCTATACTCAGACGAGACGACGAAACAAGTGAAGGAGAGCATAAAGAGACTACACAAGGACTAGCTAAGTTTACCTTGGCCGTTGCACATGGCCGTTTGCAGCAGGGAGGCTGCTAGCAGAAGAAGACAAGAGGAGTAGAAATTCAATATCGTCATCATAGCTCGTGGGCTTGTCTCTTTTTCGGTAGTTTGCTAACTAACTAACTACTTGCGTGCTTGGAGTGATAGCTACTGCAAAATATTCATCATGGCTTTGGTAGGAATTCTGAGGTGCTGTGCTATTGGTACCGGCTGGCACTTGCAAGGCGGTGACGAATTTTTCGCGCGACATCGTCGAGTGCATGCGCGGTGGACTCAAACGCGCATGCGTGCAGCGAATTGTACCCCTTTTCTCTCACACTCTCTCCCTCCCCCTACCCTCTTTCGCTCTCCTCCTTTGTAATAGTGCATGAAACCTCTGAAAATACCTTCCTTTGTAGTAAAGGAGAACCTCTCCTATAAAGGAGACTTGGTTCTAATACATGGTACCACTGTGCCTTTTCGACGTCCCCAAAACTAAATTAGTTTACTGTAAAAACGACATCACAGCACCATGATAAACAAAACTACATTACATACATTACTCTCAGTGATCACTTTAATACAACAGCAAGCTATACACATTATGCTCTAGACACTGAGAGAAAAACAAGCTACAGGGCAGTTGCAGAGTTCCATCTCTAGTCACTGTCAGAGTCGCTGTCAGGCAACTTCTTCTTGTGCCGTTCAATCTTTCTCTTGTGTCTTCGAATCTGCTCCTCCAGGTCTTCTATTGACTCCTGTGAAGGAGGGGGCGTGGCTTTGCATAATTAATTAACTGTGTCAAGAACACCCCTGAAAGGACACCTCTCTAATAAGGACACCTTTTCTTTCACCAAGAACAGTTCTTGCATGCGATTCAACCCCTGAAATAAGGACACCTCACTAATATGGACTGTCCCATTGGTGTCTGGATTAGAGGAGTTTCACTGCAACATTCCATAGTTACACATTGGTATCCTGATGATTAAGGGGCCCCCCCCCTCGCTGTAATCTCTCTCATCATCTCCCACCTTGTGATGGTCAATCTCTTCCTGATGATGATGTTCCGTCTCTTCCCTCAGTTTCCGCAGCTTCTCCAGCTCCTTAACAACAAACAAACAAACAACAGTATTACCACAAAACAATTGGGCAGCTATTCAGATTCAGCAAATTGGCAGTCAAGAAGAACAGTGATATGTACAACAGATTAACGCAAATTTCTTAAAAATATTCCCAATGGCAAATGTGACAAACACACAATTGCAAGATTTTAGGCCCACGAAAAAACTTTCCACACGTGTGTATATAGTGTTGTGTACTACACGTAGAGAGAGACAGACCAGGTTGTGGAAGTACTGATCTTCTTGGGCCTGTTCCTTCTTACTGAAAGACCCGCCAGCAGCTCTGGACGGACGAAGAATATATAGGAGGGAGGAGGTAAGGAGGAGGAATATATATACAAGAGAAAATAGAAGAGGAGGAGGAGGAGGAGGAGGAGAGGGAAATGAAGATTAATAGCTGATAAGTTCAATCGTGTACCTCACGCTCCCTGCAGAGTCCTGCGGATTTAACAAAATCAGATCAACTTTGTATATACACGAGTGTATGAATGGATCGCCTGCGACTTACAGTGTTGGAGGACATGGCTGCGCGCCCCACGCGGAGCTGTCTAGCTAGCAGTCTCAGCCGCAGAGCCATGTCGAGACAGACCACACTCACAGAGAGAGTCGAAAGAGACGAGCAAACAGCAGAGGCGACCTTGTGCGTGCAAACACGGGTCAGAGTGCACGGTGCCGTAAAACGATTCAGTAGCTGTCCTATTTATGCGGTGCCGGACACGCCCCCTCCGTAATATGGAACCGCCGGTGAGAGAGTAAACAAAAAACACTGCAGTGCGCGCGAAGTTCTCTTTGGCTCGTTCGCCTAGAGCGTCTGGAGGAACTAAAGCAGCAGAGACAATCATGAGCCTTCGTCGCCATGTGCTGAGGGTCTACAAACAGGTAACAAACGTCTTCTCGCTAGCGTAACGCGATTACGTCATTTTACGTAATGATTGACCACGTCATTTGATCATCGTTATGCGCATGCGTAAAATTTATCGCCACACAGATCCTTTACTTGGCCAGAGACTGGCCTGAAGGCTATGTGGTGCTGAGAGACAGAGCAAAGAGGGCATTTCTAATTAACCGAGAGGAGACTGACCTGAGAAAAATCGAAACATTGATTGGACGCGCGGAATTTGTCGTCAAAGAGATCGAGGCACTTTACATGTTGAAAAAATACAGAACTTTGAAAAGAAGATATTACAAAGAGTAGTTAGCAGTTTTGTTTACATTATTATATATTTTTTAGCAGCTCATCATGTAATAAAAGAGGACATGCATAATAATCCTTTTCACTGTTCTTTTTTAGCAGTGTGGCTACGACGTGACTCTGATTGCCCATTTTCTTCCTCCGATTTTAACCCTTTGAGCTCTCTCGGTTTCCCGTTTAACCCTTCTCTGGCGCTGTCTCTGGGTGGTTTCTTGCTGTACGTGTGCT